AGGATGCTAAGCACAAAATATGCACAACCCTGAAGTTGCTAAGCACAAGCATGCCAAATCATGGTGAAAATATCTCAAACATTAAATTGAACAATGCCCAATATCAATCATTCAAACCACTTTCTACAAAAAAAAAAAAAATTATTCAAACCACATACAAGAAAACTACATAGTAGGGTTTAGGATTTCACTACACCCAAGTGGGAGGATGACTACTCCATGGAAGAAGTGGGAAGAACAAACGAGAAAAAGGTGGAAGTTTCTTTTTTTTCAAATAAAAAAACTGAAAAAGCGTAGAATTTTGTTTTTGTTTTTTGTACTCTTTCATAACATAAAGAGTATTAAGAGCCTTCCGGCGTGAAAACAACCATCTTGTGGGGATACCTCCTCTCTTCTTCAACCTTGAGCTGGGATTTTCTTGGGGAAATCTTCCCAAAACCTCCTTTGAAGCCAAGCCCTAACTCCTTCTTCTCTTTTGGTTCTGGTTCTCTCTCTAAAATGCAGAAGAAGTGTTTCTCTCACAAAAAGTGGCTCCCCTTCTCTTTCCTTGCAGCTCGACTTTTAAATACGAGAGGGCCTGAGTTCACGGCCGTGAACTCTCAAACACGTCCATGAACTCACGCCTTGCGCCAAAACACTCCGCATCGATCACGACAGTTCACGGGCAACTGCTTGTGTTCACGGTCTTAGTGACCGTGAACTCGCCTTGCGTCAGTAACCTTCAAGTTGGCTGTGGACGCGTTGTGCTTCACGGTCAACTCCACTTCTTCACGGTCTTGCGCGACTGTGAACTCGTGCCTTTAGCCGTGAACTTGCGTTTTTTCACCTCTTCTCCCGGTTTTCGATCCTTTTCGCCAATCCTTCGCCTCCGAGGCTGGTTCCACCTGTTAAATCCTGAAAAGCACTCAAACACGAAGAACCTCGCGTAAAACCAACCTCTAATGAGCGAATTTGGCCCAAACATCTAAGCAAACCAGGGGCAAAATATGTGCAATTAGCCCTGAATCAGTTACTAGGAAGGAAGGTCTTGATGTCTATATAGTCAAGTTATGATATAGTTAGAAACGACTATCTTTAGAGTAGCTTCTTCTTTCTTTTTTGCGCTTCTTCGCTCTCAATCTGCTTCGCTATTTTCCAGCTTCTTTTTCCTTACTCATTTCTCCATACTATGTTTTATATTTTACCATGTGATGTTGATGAAAGTTTAGAAATGAGAGATAGATGCGATATTGGTTCATAAACTTGTTATTCCAGGCAAGTGTGAGATATTTTGTTGCATTTACATCCAACGCTTAGTCACGCCTAAGTAACGCCTAAACATGCTAGGCGCAAGGCAGAGCCTCAACGCTCGCCCTACGCCTAGCTCTTTCTTAAACCTTGACTATGATATGATCAGGGTTTTAACTAATTACGAACTTGGTTGAGTTGGATTTTCAACCCATGTCTACCAATTTTCTACAATTTTGTTTTCCTTTCAATTTTGCCGAAATCCTGCATTATGAGGGATTGTGCCAGAATCTTGAATCTAATCCTGCATCCAAACGACCCTTGTGTTTTGTTTGTTTGGTATTGGAAGGGTTTGAAATGTGTTTGTTTTATGTTTTGTAAGCAACAGGGAATTATAGTCAAGGTTTTATAGCCACAACTATCGAAATACAAATTATTAGCTAATCATTAAGTCTCCGTTAATACTTCCGTTAGATGATGATGAGTTGGCACATGCTACGATGATGTGGAAGAGAAATTTTGACGTGGCAATCAATGCAAATGCCACATAAGTCGGACAACCTTTGTAACTTATTAATTAATTATTAAAAATTTAAAATCAACTCTTGCCCTACCAACCCCTTGCCGGGAAACCATTCCTCTGCTCCAAAACAATTACGGCAATGTTGCAACCGCCTCTAGCAAGCTGTGGAAGAATTGAGCTGCTTGCGATGCCTGGAAACCCTTCCTCTACTCCAAAACAATTCAAGCAGCTTCTTCTTCCTCTCAACTGGGTGACGCATGCGGCCGGGCGGATCTGTGATTTTCACCACTGGGTTACAACGGGCGGATACGACTAGACAAAGGTGCAGCAGCCGTGATGGCAAAGTCGGCGGATTTGCTGATGTGGACGCCTATATGGATGCTGACGTGGCAGCCTCCGTTACAAAATTAATGATGGTAACGAACTGTTAACCATATGTTAATAATTTGTATTTCGATACTTGACAATATAATTCTCCACTGCTTAATAGGGCTCAAGATAGGGTGCATAACCATGGGTTATGCACCCATCAATAACCAAATCTGGATCCTTCATTTAGAAAATCCAGATCTAAGGATGGAGAATTAAAGACTATTTTTATTTTCACTAGCCTTCTTAATTGACTCATATCTTTTTCGTTTTAACTCGGATTTTAATTTTTTTTGCACAGATGGAACGAGTTCACCGTGCTCTACTAAATGAGATCAATTTCCAATATTTTTTTAGGAAAAAAAAATTCTGGCCTCTCGGTACCAACTGCATACCATATGGTATCTTCTTCGTTTTTAATTCGTTTTTGAAAACGTTTGCACAGCAGGGATGAGTTCATCATGATCTACTGGATCTACAAATTTCTGGGTGAACAAATTACAGGACCAAAAAATACCACACAATACCATACAATACCACCCTGGTACGGGGTGGTATTGTATGGTATCTTCTTCATTTTTAATTCGTTTTTGAAAACGTTTGCACAGAAGGGACGAGTTCATCATGATCTATTGGATCTACAAATTTCTGGGTGAACAAATTACAGGACCAAAAAATACCACACAATACCATACAATACCACCCTGGTACGAGGTGGTATTGTGTGGTATACAATGTTAAAAGTCGTAAATTACAATTAATATACTTCTACTATCATGTATTCAACCATCCTACAGTATTGGTTTGTTCATACCACCATGGTACGCTTTTCAAACCATAGGTATGCTCTTATTTCAATACCAGTCAATACCATATGGTATAGACTGGTAAAAAATGACTCAATTTTTTTTGTTCAAAAAATATATCAAAGTGGATATCATTTTGAAGAGCACAATTAATCTGATCTAACTGTGCAAAAAAAATTAAATTTCGACTTAAAATGAGCGAGAAATCGTCCGCCAAAGATTAACGAGGGAAAAATTAAAGGCTTTCCATGAGAGAGAGGATGCTGATGTCATGCTGATGTGGACGGGTTACTCATAGTTACTCACCATAAAGTTACTCACCTGATCCATTCCCGCTTAATAGTTGTGGCTAATATATGGCTCAAGATAGGGTGCATAACCATGGGTTATGCACCAATCAATAACCAAATCTGGACCCTTCATTTAGAAAATCCAGATCTAAGGATGGAGAATTAAAGACTATTTTTATTTTCACTAGCTTTCTTAATTGACTCATATCTTTTTTGTTTTAACTCGGATTTTAATTTTTTTTGCACAGATGGAATGAGTTCACCGTGCTCTACAAAATGAGATCAATTTTCAATATTTTTTAGGAAAAAAAAATTCTGGTCTCTCGGTACCAACTACATACCATATGGTATCTTCTTCGTTTTTAATTCGTTTTTGAAAACGTTTGCACATCAGGGATGAGTTCATCATGATCTACTGGATCTACAAATTTCTGGGTGAACAAATTACAGGACCAAAAAATACCACACAATACCATACAATACCACCCTGGTACGGGGTGGTATTGTATGGTATCTTCTTCGTTTTTGAAAACGTTTGCACAGAAGGGACGAGTTCATCATGATCTATTGGATCTACAAATTTCTGGGTGAACAAATTACATGACCAAAAAATACCACACAATACCATACAATACCACCCTGGTACGGGGTGGTATTGTGTGGTATACAATGTTAAAAATCGCAAATTACAATTAATATACTTCTACTATCATGTATTCAACCATCCTACAGTATTGGTTTGTTCATACCACCATGGTACGTTTTTCAAAACATAGGTATGCTTTTATTTCAATACCAGTCAATACCATATGGTATAGGCTCGTAAAAAATGGCTCAATTTTTTTTGTTCGAAAAATATATTAAAGTGGATATCATTTTGAAGAGCACAATTAATCTGATCTAACTGTGCAAAAAAAATTAAATTTCGACTTAAAATGAGCGAGAAATCATCCGTCAAAGATTAAAAAGGGAAAAATTAAAGGCTTTCCATGAGAGAGAGGATGCTGATGTCATGCTGATGTGGACGGGTTACTCATGGTTACTCACCATAAGGTTACTGACCTGATCCATTCCCCTAATATATTGTATTTACCCAACTTTAAAAGACTAGCGTGTTTGACCAATAAGAATTTGAAAAAAAATCCCAAAATACACATGTTATTAAAAAAAAATTCTCATAATACACGTTATAATTTTTTCCCCAATCTACACATGTTTGGTTCACCGCTGCAGAGGAAGAGTTTTCGGGCATCTTGCAAGTCGCAAAGTTACGTGAAATAAAAAAAAAATCATGACGTTCAAAATGCGGAGCACAAAGTTATGCCCGTACAAAGTTTGACGAAATCGAAAAATTGCTCATTCGGGGGTAGCAAACATCATTTTTTTGGGATGAAGGCTGGACCAAACGGCCTTCGACCATTTGCGGCTTGCAAGATCTCGAAAAATTATGTGAAATCAAAAAGAATTTCACTACGTTCAGATAACCGAGTTCAAAGTTACGTTCATTAAAGTTTCGACGCAGGTCAGGTCTTCATCGCACATTGACCGCCGTCCTCTAGCGCGGTGAAGGCTTCATCGCGCTCCTCCGCCACGGTGAACCATCCCTGCGTTCCTCCGTCACGATGATGCGTCGGTGCATGTGTGCACCGAATTATTAACCGCAGTGATGCCCAAACACGTCTACATTGGAATTTTTTTTTATAATGTGTATTTTGAGAATTTTTTGTTTGAAACATGTGTATTTTTCCTAAGAAATTCATGGGATGAATGTTAACGCCGCTGCTTTAATCGTATTGGCGGGAGCCAACAGAACACCTTATCCACCACCAGTTTCAGCGCCAGCATGGCAATATCCAAACCATATCAACGCAATTTTCCCACCACAGATACAGAGAGTGAGAGACCAAACCACCACCTGCTGCAGGGTAAAAGAACCCAGCAAAGGAACGGAGAAAAGCTAGCAGCTGGAGAGGAAGGAGTTGGCGAGAGCGAGAGAATGCGAAGCGTGGCGGTCTCAGAAGGGCGTTTCATCTCCCCACATTGTTCATTGCCGCCATCGCCATGTCTTCTCAACGGCAAGCCTCTCAAGTCCCGCTTGCTCCCTCTCAGTCCCATGAACACTACTCCTTCCTCATCCTCCCGCCTTCTCTCCAGGTGAACTTAATTGAATTCCCCCCCTTCGCATCGTGGTGGGTTTTATTGATATAGGCTGATACTACTAGATTGCAAGATTTTTGTCAATATGTGATTGCCCGCCAATTTCGTAATTGTAAATTGTGGTATTGCTGATCAGGTGTTCGAGAAAAGGGCTCACTGAGCCGTTTCAGGAAGTACTTCGAGGGATGCTTCCCGGTGTGTATGACAACGATTCTCACGATTCTGTAACCCTGCTCTCTCTCTCTCTCTCTCCTTTCACTGTGAAGGTTCGTGAGTTAGGTGGTAGTCATTCGTTTATGGGGATATGTTGCAATTGGTCACAGGGAGTTGGTGATGGCGCCAACAACAGCCGGGCGCCGGGAGAACTGGTTCGGATTATGGACGGCAATGGGAAGATAAATTCATTTCAAGAAATTGGCGCTGTGGAAGCTGCTACATTACACGAGGGCGTAATGAAACTATTTGTGTTCCTCTCTGGGTGTCTAGTGCTCCAGGGCTCTGATCCAGCGGCTGCTGTTGCAATGGAGCTCTCAAACAGTGGGTTGCAATCCATTCCTTATCTTGGAGACCTTGGTGACATTCGCACAGGTTTCGCCTCAGTTAGTAGAATCTCCTTGTTCCTTCTATGATTGATCGTCCATTACTCAAAAATTCTTATCTAAACCATAAACGACATTTATGTTTATGAGTTCTTGACTCCACCGCCATTAGCACATTTTTCTTCTTTTGTGTGACACCTTTTTAATACTCAAATGCTGCATGGTTATGAAATCCTCCCTCCGATTTTACCTTTGACACTTGCCACTTTGGGGGGTTTGTTGTTGTTGAGGATTGAGAAGTTCGATTTGTTATGTTTAGATTCATTAGTAATTGGAGATCAGCGTGCCATTTTGGGGGGGATTGAATTTGGGAATGAAAACGTGAAGAGCTTCTAATTCTGTATATTTTGCATTGCAGGCATTCTTGCTGATATTTTTCTCGGAGTTGGGTGACAAAACTTTTTTCATTGCGGTAAAAGACTGCACTCCAGGAGAACTCTTTCTCTGTCTTTGACATGCCTCCTGGGATTTTAATATGTTGCATGATCCGACATTGCTATTGGAAAATAAGTTAGCCAGAGTCATTAATTGGTACAATGCTGGCCTTAATTTTGGAGGTAAGGTGATGATGAGGTTTTTGGTTTTACTTGCAGGCACTTTTAGCGGCTAGGAATTCTGCCGCCATTGTCTTCACAGGGACCTTTGGCGCCCTTGGGTATGCTCTTCCTCTCAGATGTTTTCTGTACAGGCAAAATGCGCATAGGTTTTGATTATAGAGAAGCCTATGTCTGAATATTAACAATTGTGACTCATATGTGCACCTTACCTCTATCTTCCTGTGGCATGCTGATCTCCAATTATCAATTGCGGTGAACAGTGTAATGACTGTCATATCCGTGTTACTTGGAAGAACTTTCCATTATGTGGATGAGATCCTTCCGTTCAGGTACTTACTTTGATACTCTAGTGAAATTTGAAGTTTACTTGAAACCGCTCTGCATTTTTCATACTAACCAAAATGTATGAGATCTGCAGTGTCGGTGGTACTGATTTGCCTATTGATGATATTGCTGCAGTTTGCCTTTTGGTGAGTGTCAATATCCCTGAATGTTTGTATTTAAAGGTGCCATTCCTTTGGAACTGTGTGCTTGTCATTGAAGTAAACAACACTTTCCCTGCTAACTTGAGTATATTTCAGGTCTATTTCGGGATATCAACATTAATTGATGCCTCTTCAAGCGATAGCCCAAAAGCAGAAGATGAACAAAAGGAAGTGAGTGTCTGATTTCCTCATTGCATGATTACGCTATGCAACTCTGCATTAATATGACAAGATGCCTTGTTCTGAACTAGGCGGAGCTAGCAGTTTCAGAGTTCTCCGGAAATGGTGCAGGCATTTTATCCGCTGCTAACACCATTGTCAGCACATTTGCTTTGGTTTTTGTTGCTGAATGGGGTGACAAATCATTTTTCTCTACAATTGGTTGGTTCTTATGCTGAAAGTTGTATAATTGTCAGGTTTTTCTGCTTCTCCGTTTGGCACTTAAACTTCCTTTTTTTTTTCTTCTTCAATTGCTCTCTTCTTCCAGCACTTGCTGCTGCATCTTCCCCTCTTGGTGTCATTGCTGGAGCTCTGGCTGGTCATGGTGTTGCAACCTTGGTACATAACACTTGAAACAAAACTGCATATACCAAAGTGGCTGCTACTACTACATATATGCATCAAATGCTTTATGAATCCACAAGTTCATATCATCATTCATTACATACCATAATCTAGGACGCCATAGTTGCATTGATTCATGAATTCATTCTTTTGCAGATTGCTGTCTTGGGAGGTTCTTTACTGGGAACATTCCTATCAGAGAAGGTACAGAAACTCTTGAAACCTCTCCAACTTTGTTTGATCTGCATATCTTGAAATAAAATGCCTGTTTCATAACTTGGAATTTCATTATGTACTAAAAGTGAAAACCCATAATATGCTAATGACATTTTGACGAGTGACATGTGATCCTCTTCCTGGTCCCCAAAAAAGAGTTCCTGACTGAAAGACTCAAAGGTGCCATCAGCATCTTAACTCTCAACCATTCAAGTTGTCACCCAACCCTCATCAGTCTTTTGCCCTTTGAATACTGATTTTCCATTATACCGAAAGAAAAAGACAATCCTAGATGAAGACCAATAACCAGAGTTATTGTGAGTGGAAGAACCATGAACCAAGTACAAAGAACCCAACCACAAAATGTCTTGTCTCTAGTACTCTCTTCTTTTTTCTACCACCAACCCTATAATGTTTGAAAACTCTGATCACCTTACGACAGGCTGAATTCCGAGCAGCATATAATAACATACGCTGCTGGGCTGGAATATATGTTGTAGATCTTTTACACTTCTCATAATCTGCAACAATTACACGTGCTTGTACAGAATCAGCTTCTTATTCAACTTCCGCCATTATATTATGATGGACTGAGGACAAAAGGAGAAGGACAAAAATTCTTTTTTGGTGCTTTTGGACAGGTCATAGCATACATTGGTGGGATTCTTTTCCTTGTCTTCGCCGCCATGACACTGATCGAGATTGTGAGTTGAAAAGGCGCAACTATGACAGGCATGGTGTTGCTATTGCCCCCATTCTTCAGTTTTTGTAGGCATTAGAATGTCTCAGGTCCAGCCATGCTCCAGTTAGCACAAAGCATAAAGGAGTTTGATTTGTTTGGATTTGTTATCATCATTGTATCAATCAAACTAACATTTGTTTAGTAAATAGAACTTGCACGCTGTCCTCTATGTAAATTTCAAGCAGCTCGATTCATCTGCCTGGGACTTTTGATTTGTCTAGTTTTAATGTAAAATTGGTAAGAAAGTACAGGCATTTTTGGCCTTTTGGTTTGTCTATGTGGGAAGCTTAGCTCGAAGTAGGGATTTTTTATTTGATAACCCAGAACATCAACAACCCACATGCCATATTAGTGACAACGGAGCCTACTAAATCTGGGTTATCTGCATACTAACCATTAAGGACTTTGTCCTGGCGCAGCAGTGCATGGCTATCTCAAAATAAGGATAGTCGGATAGATAATTGAGAAAAAAAGGGAGGATTAGGGATTATGAGACAATTAGGGGTAGATTGAAGAGATTTAGGGGTAAGGGGACCGGAAAAAAAAAATAACGCTCTCTCCTCAACTCTCCCATGTTCCCTAATTTTTCGAAGCGTAACCGGCTAATCGCGGCGATTCACCTTTCCGGCTGGTGGTACCTTTATCGCCGCCGTTCGAATTAGCCGATGGTTGTGCATTGCCGATATGGGCTTCTCCTCCACTCATGGAGATCTTCAATCCTACTCCCTTCAGGCTCACATGCACTTTTATTTCTCGAATTACAGTTCCTATGCCAACGGATTGTGTTTGTCGTGGATGGATCAACATGCTCCTCAAATTCGGGTTGGGGCGTTTTCGGGCTAAGATCAGGTGACTAGGGGGGTCCCTTAGTCACATGACTAAGTCAATCTCAGCCATCGAGTCTCATTAAAATCTAATGGTTGTAATTGGTCTCATTTAATGAAGGGTAATGTAGTAATTGTAGTTTTATTTAATTAATAATTAGTACAAAATAAATAAAAAATCCTCCCTGCTTGTGAGTTTTCTGCTGTTTCGATTCCACCTTCGGCTGACGGCGACTGCTGGTTCCGGCGGGCTTTTCCCCCTGTTGGATTCCGGCGTCCTAGTACCACCAGCGGTGGATTTTTATTCCCCATGGATGGGAACTCCATTCCCCATTTTGCGCGGCTAGAGAGAGAGAGAGAGAGAGAGAGAGTTTGCTGACCCGAGGAAACTTTCCAGCGACGACGGAGAAGGACTTTCCGGTGATAGTGTTGGATTTATGATATTTGTTGACCTATTTTGTAATGTTTGTATCGATTCGGTTTGTAATGTTTATCATTCTTGTTTGTCATTTTTTTAGTGACATTTTGTACGATTAGTATGTTTTGTATTCTTTGTCAGTTTATTTTGTAATGTTTGTAAACTTTATTATTTTGTAATGTTTGTCAGTTTCTTTTGTAATGTTTGTAAGTTTTGTTATTGTTGTGCACCATTTTTGTCAACCATGTTTGTAATGTTTTTATGTCTAAAAAACAACCTGGTTGACTTTTGGATGAAACTCCTCTATATAGGGAAGAAGCCTCCAAAGTCAACCCGGATGTTTTTCCAGTTTGTATGTTTGTCGGTCTAGTTTGTCATTTTTGTCCACAGTGTTCGTAATATTTGTATGTCTAAAGCCTACACTTCAAAAGGCTACAACAAACAAGCCCTTGGGAAAAGGCACCAAACAACCCAGCCAGAACAACCAAACACTACTCCCCAGGATACCACCCACCCAACTCGACAACAATTAGCAAAAACAAACGAATCCAAGCCGCAATCAAAATCAGGTCCTGAGCAGACGCAAGAAAGCATAACGCCAAGAAGCCACTACATTCTTCTCAACTTTCCCATGGGCCAGAATCCATTGCAGGACATTCATAACAGCCAAGCAAGCCACATCTCTAGCGGAATGGAGCTCTTGACGAAAAATGCGGTTGTTGCGTTCCTTCCAAACAACCCATCCCACAACATGAAGAAGACAAAAGTTAACCCAACCATCGATGTCATCTGGCTGCAAGTTCGGATGACTTTGTCATCTTTGAATTATATAATTTGGAGAAATCCTTGCAAGTCATCAAGTTTCTATAACAATGGCAATTTGAACTTTTTAATTAGTGATGTATAAGGTTTTGCAAGTCGTATCACGTAAAACTTGATGTACATCAACGTAACATCCACGTAACTTAAAGATTATAGTTTGTATAATTAAACCTCTTGTCTTGCACAATCAATGACTTGCGTTTGTAGTCCAACGGTTAGGATAATTGCCTTCCAAGCAATAGACACGGGTTCGACTCCCGGCAGACGCATCATTTTTCATGAGAACTAATCTTTTAGTTCAAATATGCTCTTTTTCAGAACGGGACCGGAGGCTGAACCGGAAAATTTAGTGTTTTAGGGTTCATTGGTTAACCTTTACAAAGTCGTTGATGAACCGCTGATAGAACCGTTCATGATATATAACATATAAGACTTGTATATTACACTAATTTAAGAATGAAGTTATCATTCACCTTGAAATTCATATCATCACCAAAATATCTAATAAATCATTCAAACACTCTCACTCTCACAAAAGAAATCATAATTTTTTCATTGAAATTAAAATTACAGTGCTAGTCAATAGAGGAGAACATAGAGTCGACAACAAGGTTCAAAAATTAGAAGAGGAAGCATATATAAAATTAATAATTATGATTTGATGATCTTAGTTTAAGTTAAAGTATTTTTTATTTTTTTTTTGCTTAAAATAGTGAACTAGTGTACCAGTTAAACCGTGGTGATTTATCTGATTTTATGTTGTCCAAGCAATGAATCGGACCGCTATCGTAACTTGTTTGGCGGTTCTACTGGCCAACTGTTGATCTGGTTCGGTTCTTATAACAATGCAAATATGACTAATCAGTAATCAGCGAAACCAATTAGCAGTAAGTCATCATTAACCTCCAAATGGAAAGTAATTGGCCGGCCTTCTGCCAAAGGTAACACAATCGAGTTGGTCGGGAGTGTGGTCTTTCGGGTTTGAGATGTATGAGGTCTCAGATTCGAACCCCACTACACCACCCGGAGGCTGAACCGGAAAATTTAGTGTTTTAGGGTTCATTGGTTAACCTTTACAAAGTCGTTGATGAACCGCTGATAGAACCGTTCATGATATATAACATATAAGACTTGTATATTACACTAATTTAAGAATGAAGTTATCATTCACCTTGAAATTTATATCATCACCAAAATATCTAATAAATCATTCAAACACTCTCACTCTCACAAAAGAAATCATAATTTTTTCATTGAAATTAAAATTACAGTGCTAGTCAATAGAGGAGAACATAGAGTCGACAACAAGGTTCGAAAATTAGAAGAGGAAGCATATATAAAATTAATAATTATGATTTGATGATCTTAGTTTAAGTTAAAGTATTTTTTATTTTTTTGCTTAAAATAGTGAACTAGTGGACCAGTTAAACCGTGGTGATTTATCTGATTTTATGTTGTCCAAGCAATGAATCGGACCGCTATCGTAACTTGTTTGGCGGTTCTACTGGCCAACTGTTGATCTGGTTCGGTTCTTATAACAATGCAAATATGACTAATCAGTAATCAGCGAAACCAATTAGCATTAAGTCATCATTAACCTCCAAATGGAAAGTAATTGGTCGGCCTTCTGCCTAAGGTAACACAATCGAGTTGGTCGGGAGTGTGGTCTTTCGGGTTTGAGATGTATGAGGTCTCAGATTCGAACCCCACTACACCACTTGGTGTTCCCGGAAGCACCACGAGTGCTGGAGATAAAGTCTCCCCCCAATATCAGGTGCTAGGCCTTGAAAATGTTGCTGACGCAGGTACTCCCCAGGTTTAGTAGACCCCGCTGCCACAAAGTGGCACGTAGGGTTAGGGATGGCAATGGGTCGGGTTGGGTCGTGTTTTGTCAAACCCAAACTCAAACTCATGGGTTTATCCGTGAAAAAAATCGGGGGTAAAACCCACTGGGTTTGGAAAACTCAAACCCAACCCAACCTGCTGTGTCTGCGGGTTCATGGGTACCCATGGGTTTTTGTCGTAAGAAATTTACAATAACAAGTTGCTATAAAAATAAAAGTCAAATATCAATCTCTCAATACAAACTATCCATATATAAAACACAATTATACAAAATTCAAGCAAATCACAAATTAACCACAAATTGTTTAACACCAAGCTACAAAACTCAAGAAAATTGAAGCAAATCACAAATTATCTATAAACAACATGATTAATTGAAAGCTTCTTCCTCTTTGTCAATTAAGTTTCTTCACTCTCCACTCGATAATATCAACTTCATTCTACACAATTATAAAAAATAATTAAATATGTCTCCACAAACATAAAGAAGATTAGTTGCTTAGAAAACTAAATATACCAGGAAAATTAATTATATGAGTGTGAGCGGGTATTCCCCGTGCCCCACCCTCCACCGCCTCCGACCCACTCAAACCAGACTTCTTCTAACCACTCAACCCCCTCCGCTGCCGTCGGCCGGGTTCTGGGTCGGCCAACGGAGTACGTCCGGTCCACTTACATCTTCGGATGGGAAATAGGTCGGGGCCAATTCACAGTTACCTACTTAGTAACCCACCGGGAGACTAAAGAGCAGTTCGCTTGCAAGTTAATCTCATTGAGGAAGCTGATCAATCGCGACGACATTAAAGACGTCAGCCGCGAGGTCCAAATTATGCATCACCTGACGGGTCACTATAACATAGTCGAGCTGAAGGGTGCGTACGAGGATCGACATTCATTCAATTTGGTGATGGAGCTTTGCGCCGGTGGGGAGCTCTTCGATCGGATCATCGCCAAGGGACATTACTCCGAGAGGGCGGCGGGTGGGCTTTGCCTGCAGATCGTCACGGTGGTGCACAATTGCCATTCTATGGGGGTAATGCATAGGGATTTGAAGCAGGATAATTTCCTCTTCTTGAGTACAGCTGAGGAATCGCCTCTCAAGGCTATTGACTTCGGGCTCTCTGTGTTTTTCAGGGGAAAGTTAATCTACTAACTTGATGATTCATTAGCAGATACTAACTGATATTCAAAATACATGAACTAATATCCAAGTATTAAAGTATCTAGAGACCACAGACTAGTATTCAAAGTTTGCTAACTAATATCCACCATGAATCAACTATTATCCCAAATTCACAAACTAACATCTAGACAACACAGAATAGTATCCAAACAGCACATAATTAGTATCCAGATAACACAGAAGAGTATCCACATAACCCATAAGAATATCCATATTGAATACTAGTTGGTTGATTGTGGATATTAGTTGGTATCTGCTATCTAGATACTAGTTTGTGATGTTTTGAATATTAGTCTGTATTATCTAGATACTTAGCATACTTCGATATTAGTTCATATATTTTGGATATTAGTTAGTATATACTAACGAATCTTTAAGTTAGCAGAATAACTAGGCTAGTTTTTCAAGCCAGATAGGGAATCTCTTAGTTGTTGCAATCTTGAAACCATCGAGCTAGATTCCCATTTTTGTCCAGTCAGCTCTTGGACTAGAAATGCTTGACTTGTTTTGAAGGTTTGATTCATTACAGTTGATCTGCCATTGCAGGAGATGTGTTCAAGGGCCTTGTTGGAAGTGCATATTATGTAGCTCCTGAAGTTCTGCGAAGAAGCTATGGTCCTGAGGCTGATATATGGAGTGATGGTGTTATCTTGTAAATCTGCTCAGTGGAGTTCCACCATTCTAGGGAGGTCTGTAGCTTTGACCATTTTGTTTGAGAGAACTCTGAACTTTTGAATGACTATATATAGAGCATAAAGTTCTTGTTTGTTTTCTCCTTTGTTGTGGTGTTGGCCACATTTGCATAACTAAGAATTTCAATGGTTGCTTATACACTTAAATTAAGCTCGTGGAATCGCATATGATGCAGTTAGAGTCCACGCTCTAATTGTTATTGATCCTGCCTCCCCTGTAGAAATCTTCCATACCACATCATTCAATTACTTGTCGGAGACACATGCTAGCTTTTATTTCTCTGGTAGCTTTCTTTTCTCACATGCTATTCTTATCTTTTACCAAGCAATATCACGTGTGTATATATACAAGTAGATAGGTCTCCATGTAACTTGAATCAGTAAGAAGAAATACAAAGTGGCACGCTCTAATTGTTATTGATCCTGCCTCCCCTGTAGAAATCTTCCATACCACATCATTCAATTACTTGTCGGAGACAAGTCCATTAACTCACCATCCCTATTTATTTTTCCCCATCTCAATGTTATCTTCTGCAGACACATGCTAGCTTTTATTTCTCTGGTAGCTTTCTTTTCTCACATGCTATTCTTATCTTTTACCAAGCAATATCACGTGTATATATACAAGTAGATAGGTCTCCATGTAACTTGAATCAGTAAGAAGAAATACAAACAGAATAGAGACTATCATTCTGGTCTTTCTCTTTTCAATCCTTTGTCGATTTCTTCATGGTATCAGAGCGGGTTCTCTAGAATCCTGCAAATCTTTTCCCTTCTCATTCCTTTTCTTGAGTGAAATACATAATGAGTGATCTCCAAACCTCAGTTACAAGCAACCAGCAAAGCAGAGAAGAGAGTCCCATTGTGAGCACCATGAAAAAGGAGGCAGCTTCCGCATACAGTCTGCATAATTCAGACAATCCTAGTCAAATGTTCGTAAGTGATCCACTCACCGATCAAAACTACGGAGTGTGGGTCAGCGACATGACCAACTCTCTTCTAGCAAAGCACAAAATGGGCTTTGTCGATGGCACCATACAGAAACCAGCCGAGGAAAATGAATACCTTGCAACCTGGATCCAGTGTGACGCCATGGTGAAAGGGTGGCTCAAGACCGCCATGGACAAAGAGGTGAGAACCAGTGTCCGATACGCGAAAACAGCCCGCGAGATATGGGTCGATCTTCAAGAGAGATTCGGGAAGGGAAGTGCACCTCGTGCCTATGAGTTAAGGCGAGCCATCTCACTCCTCCAACAAGAGAAACTGACAGTTTCAGCCTACTATACGAAGCTAAGAGGGCTGTGGCAGGAATCCAACTCCATCATACCACAACCAACATGTGTTTGCAGTCGTTGCACATGTGGTCTAGAAAAGCGGGTGAGGGAGATTAGTGAAAACGCTAGACTTTTTGACTTTCTAATGGGACTTGCAGATGTTTTCTCTACTGTAAGGTCACAAGCACTCAACATGAAGCCTACACCAACCCTTGGAGAGGCCTATCACATGGTGGCTGAAGATGAACAACAAAGGAATATCGCAGCAACTCGAAAACCAATTATAGAAGCAGCAGCTTACCAAGCAAATGTTGTCACAAAAGATGGTGGTAAGCGCCGATATGATGGGAAAGAACAACCACGATGCACCCACTGAAACAAACTCGGGCATGTCAAGGAGAAATGCTATGAGTTGGTGGGCTATCCGCCTAAAAACTTGAAACCTGGAGAAAAGGGAAGTTGGCGTAAATTTGACGATCTCAAAAGTGGTTCTAAATCAGCCCACTTTGCTGATTTAGAAGACAGTCGTGTTCCTGGATTGTCGATGGACCAATGTCGACAACTCATGCAATTTCTGAATAGTGGAAGTCCATCTAAAGAATCCTCTTCATCTGGAGCACCTACAGTCAACATGGCTGGTAAGAAAATTTCAGAACATGAATGGATTATAGACTCAGGATGCAATGAGCATATCACTAATAATGCTGGAATTTTGGAAAATAGTGACGATTCTCATACTTATATGCCTGTGACTATCCCAAATGGTGATAAAATACCCGTCCAACAAGTAGGAACTGTTCATTTGTCGAATGGGATGAAGCTAAGTAATGTGTTAGGCATTCCAAACTTCAAATGCAGCCTACTGTCAGTGAGTAAACTTACTCGTGATTACAATGTGGCCTTGATCTTCTTGAGTAATTTTTGTGCAATCCAGGACTTACACTCGAAGAAGCTGATTGGGATGGGTAAGTTAAGAGATGGGTTGTACTACCTAAATCTCTTTGACACAGAAGGGAAGAAGGCTTTGGCAGTACATGGCAGTGGTACGAGTGAGTCAGAACTTTGGCATTCCAGACTTGGGCACCCCTCTGAGCAGAAAATGAAACTTTTCAGCAATTTGACCAAAAATAAGTGTAAACTTACACATTGTGATGCTTGTCTACGAGCTAAACAATCACGTTTACCATTTCCTATTAGTTCAATAAAGACTACTTCTTGCTTTGAACTTCTACATATCGATATTTGGGGGGGTTACAGTTCTGTTTCTTTAACTGGAGCACGCTATTTTCTCACCATTGTTGACGATTTCAGCAGAGCAGTATGGGTATATCTCTTGCGGTACAAATCGGAAGTTGAGAAATACTTACTCATTTTTTGTCATATGGTCAAAACTATATTTCAGAAGAATGTCGCTCGCATTCGTGCAGATAATGGGCTTGAATTTCAGACACGTGGTCTCCAACAGTTCTATGAAGAAAATGGAGTTTTGCTGCAAACTACTTGTACAGACACTCCCCAACAAAACGGAGTAGTCGAAAGAAAACATCGTCACCTGCTTGAAACAGCTAGAGCACTCAGATTTCAAGCAAATTTACCCATAAAATTCTGGGGTGAGTGCATTCTTACAGAAACATACCCCATTAACAGGATGCCCTCCCGCAGTATTCAGAACAAGACGCCTTATGCGGTGCTTTTTGGAAAATCACCACCACTGGAGCATCTCAAAATCTTCGGCTGCCTTGCATATGCTCGAGACAATCATAAGCATATCGACAAATTTGCGGAAAGGGGGAGACCCAGTGTCTTTCTCGGATATCCAGCCGCTCAGAAAGGGTATAGATTACTCGACCTTGCTACCAACCTCATCTTCATCTCCCGAGATGTGTTCTTCGTCGATCAAGTCTTTCCATTCAAGGACCAGACGTCAACATAGCCATCACCGAATTCATCGCCTGAAACAACATCAGTTCCAGCAGACGACCTTGCAAATGACGGTCCCACAGCCGCAGACCCACATCCGGCGTCGCCTTTCTCACCACCGCCTGCAAACTCTCTGTCTGCAGTCATCCCAAATTCCTCTTCGGCATCACCACCTTGCCCTCCTAGCGACCACGATCGGGTGGAGGAAACTATCACTCTGGCACCGGCAGGAGCTCCCACGACGAATCCGCCGCAACTGCTCCATCTCGACAACGTCGTGGGCAAAAGAGTTGGGGAAATAAAATCCCCCCAATTGGCCAGCCATCACAGAATGAAGCAGCCAAATCAATTCCATTCTTCTGGGCCCCCTTCCTCAATCCAATTTCATGATGGGCCAAGTCAATTCGAGCCCATTAACTCCCATGGGCCACTTCAAGGCCAAATAAACAATCCAGAGGTTTTATTTGATGATGGGTCATATTCTCCAAACTCAAGTGCTGAAATTGTGAACGACCAAGGAGGTATTGGGGTTAATTTAGAGCCTTCTCAAGTCATTCGGCAGAGCAAGCGCATCTCCAAGCTCCCAAGCCACTTTGATGGATATGAGGTAGATTTACCAAAAAATCTCAAACCTAGTCCTAAAGCTAAAGATGCTCAATATCCACTCTCTAATTATGTTACGTATGGTTATTTTTCACATAAACATCAAGCATTTTTAGCTTCTCTTACAAATAATTGTGAGCCACAATTTTTCCATCAAGCCATTGGTAATTCCTTTTGGCGAGAGGCCATGAAAAGAGAAATTCAAGCTCTCGAAGAAAATGGAACTTGGATCCTCGTAGAACTTCCTCTCGGCAAGCGTGCTATCGACTCAAAATGGGTTTACAAGATCAAGTATAATCCCGATGGAAGCATTGAACGGTATAAAGCCAGATTGGTCGCAAAAGGGTTTACTCAAGTTGAAGGGGTTGACTTTCATGACACCTTTGCACCGGTGGCTAAACTTGTTACAGTTCGTTGCTTATTGGCCATTTCAGCGATTCGGGGATGGATTGTTCATCAACTCGATGTCAACAATGCCTTTTTGCATGGAGATTTGGATGAGGAAGTGTACATGAAGCCACCACAAGGTTTTCTTCAAAATGGAGATAATCGCGTATGTAAGTTACGCAAATCCCTCTATGGTCTTCGACAAGCCTCCAGAAACTGGTACGCAAAATTTACTTCGGCACTTCTCTCCATGGGTTTCGTTTTATCTCGTGCTGATCCCTCCATGTTCATATATCGAACTTCATCAAGTTTTGTGGTGGCTCTCATTTATGTGGATGACGTCATCCTGGCTGGTGATGATTCACAATTCATCGAACATGTGAAACAGACTCTTCATCAGCGTTTCAGCATAAAAAATCTTGGGCCTTTGAAATATTTTCTCAGCATAGAAGTAGCTCGATCAGAACATGGGATTGTACTCTCTCAGCGAAAGTATACTCTTGACATTTTGCAAGAAGTTGGCTTAAGTGATGCACGTCCAAGCATCTTCCCGATTGAGCAGAACCACCGTTTGACGAGTTCTGAATCTGAAGAAGTTGCATCCCCACAAGATGCCGCTGCTTACCGTCGTCTTGTTGGCCGTCTTCTATATCTTACAGTTACACGTCCTGACATCGCTTATGCTGTCAACATCTTGAGTCAATTTGTTCACTCTCCGGGTTCCACCCATATCTCAGCTGCACAGCGTGTTGTTCATTACCTAAAACGAGCTCCGAGACAGGGTCTTTTTTTGCCAGCTGATGGTCATGTTGAACTAACTGCTTTTTGTGATGCTGATTGGGGAGGTTGCCCACTCACCCGTCGATCCACAACAGGTTACTTTATCACTCTTGGCAGGTCACCCATTTCCTGGTGCACTAAGAAGCAAAGTGTTGTTGCTCGCTCTTCTGCAGAGGCTGAATATCGAGCCATGGCCAGCACTGTCAGTGAACTTATATGGCTTCGATGGCTCCTCCGAGAACTCGGAGCACCACAATCGCAACCAACCGTTCTCTACTGCGATAATCAAGCGGCTCTTCACATTGCCGCTAATCCAGTATTTCATGAACGCACCAAACACGTCGAGATGGATTGCTATTTTGTTCGTGAATGTGTAATTTCTCAAGACATTCTCCCTTGCAAGGTACCCACACGAGATCAAGTGGCTGATATTTTCACTAAGGGACTCGACAGTGATAGATTCCGATTCCTTCTCTCCAAATTGGGCACTCGTGACCTTCATGCTCCAATTTGAGGGGGAGTGTAGAAATCTTCCATACCACATCATTCAATTACTTGTCGGAGACAAGTCCATTAACTCACCATCCCTATTTATTTTTCCCCATCTCAATGTTATCTTCTGCAGACACATGCTAGCTTTTATTTCTCTGGTAGCTTTCTTTTCTCACATGCTATTCTTATCTTTTACCAAGCAATATCACGTGTATATATACAAGTAGATAGGTCTCCATGTAACTTGAATCAGTAAGAAGAAATACAAACAGAATAGAGACTATCATTCTGGTCTTTCTCTTTTCAATCCTTTGTGGATTTCTTCATCCCCTGCTAGCATCTCATCTTTGGCTTCGTTTCTTTGGTGCACAGAAATGGAGCAGGCTATCTTTGATGTTGTTTTGCATGGACATATTGATTTCTCTTCCGAGCCCTGGCCTTCAATATCCAGTAGTGGTAAAGATCTCATCAAGAAGATGTTGAGGGTTGATCCAAAGGAAAGACTATCAGCAGCCGAAGTCCTCAGTAAGTGTTATGTCATCAGTGGAGATGAAGAAAGATTACCCTTGACTTGGCTTCTGAATATGAGGGAGCGACATTGAACAAAAGGTCCAATTTTGTAATGTAATGCAGATCATCCATGGACGAGAGAAGACGGTGATACATCTGATAAGCCTCTTGATATTGCTGTTTTATCAAAAGAATGAAACAGTTCAAGGCTATGAACAAGCTAAAAAAAGTAGCTCTGAAGGTGTGATGCCCCACATAGTTTGCTGGGCTACCCTTTTTCCTAGCTTCTGAGCTATCGTTTAATCTCTCCCTTTTACCAGGGAGGTAATCGCGGAAAATCTTTCTGAGGAAGAAATCATGGGGTTAAGAGAAATGTTTAAATCCATGGACACGTATAACAATGGAACCATAGCTTACGAGGAGTTGAGGGCTGGTCTTCCAAAGCTCGGAACCAAGCTTTCCGAGTCTGAAGTCAGGCAATTAATGGAAGCGGTATAATCTCTGCTCCTTTTCCATGGTTTCTTATCTTTGCATGAGCTTAGCATTGCTTCTGGCATTGAGTAGAAGACCATGAATTGACAGTAATGTGATATTCTCTCTTTAGGCAGGCGTGGATGGAAATGGAACAATCGACTACATAGAGTTCATCACAGCGACCATGCACTTGAATAGAATGGAAAGAGAGGATCATTTGTACAAGGCCTTTGAATATTTCGACAAGGACAAGAGCGGGTATTCTCACCGTTTCAATGTTCTTTCATGCAATTTCAAGAAATCTCTTCCCTCTACCACATCTTGCTTTCTCTGTCTTTGTTTCGTTCTAGGTACATCACTACGGAAGAGTTGGAGCATGCGTTCAAGCAAATACAACATGACTGATCCCAGAACAATAAAGGAGATAATTGCACAAGTATACACCGACAATGTACGCGTTCTGGTTGTTTCGGTTATGTTCTTTTTCTTTCTATGCACACACAATCATGGAGGGACTGAATTCCAACTGCTTATTTATAGGATGGAAGAATCAAATACGACGAGTTTGCATCCATGATGAGAAAAGGAAGTCCAGAGTTGGTCCCCAACAGACGGCGCAAATAAGCTGATAGTGTCCATCTGAGATCCATGCTTGACGACCACTTCAGATTTTGTCATGCGATCATACGATAGTTTCCCTTTGGGGTGTCCAGGGGTGAAAAATGGAAGGGGGTTGCGGGGAATGCATTAGGAATGAGAGTGTCGTTGTTGTTGAGAGAAGAGTGTGTTTGTTTTAGTTGTTCGGTTGTTCAACTTGCGAGTTAATACAGAAGCTGTCTTCAGTAGGGATGACAACAAAACCCGAACCCACGGGTATCCACCCGACCCAATCCGATTAACGCGGGTAAAATCCGTGTTGACGGGTTTTGGGTCGGGTTCGGGTTTAAATCCGTTCACTATTCACCAGGTTGGGTGGGTTTGAGTTTAGATAAACTCGCCCCATGGGTACCCGCCCATACCCATATAATTAATTTTCTCGATATATTTAATATTCTAAACAACTAATCTCATTTAAGTTTGTGGAGACATGTCTAATTTTTTCTTTCTAATTGTGTAGAAGGAATTTGATATTATCGAGCGGAGAGTGAAGAAACTTAATTGACAAGGAGGAAGAAAATTTTCAATTAATCATGTTATTCATGGATAATTTGTGATTTGCTTTAATTTTCTTGAGTTTTCTAGATTAGTGTTGAACAATTTATATAGTTAATTTGTGATTTGTTTGAATTTTCTAGACTTGTATTGAAAGATTGATATTTGACTTTAATTTTGATAGGAACTTGTTATTGTAAAGTTTTTACGATAAAAACCCGTGTGGTACCGATGAACCCGCGGATAGCCAGCGAGTTGGATTGGGTTTGAGTTTTTCAAACCCAGTGGGTTTTACCCCGGGTTTTTTTCACGAATAAACCCATGGGTTTGGGTTTGGCAAAACCCGACCCATTGCCACCCCTAGTCTTCACTGTTACTCTTGTTCTCGAGGAATTTTTTTTTTGGTACATCGGAAAATGAAATGAAATAGGACAATAACTATAGACGATACAAGCTAGGAGCGGGAATACATATTCCCTCTTCTATCTAAATCCACAAGTTGTAATATGGAGCTTGGAGGAGAAGGCCAAAGGCGTTCTCCTGAGCGACAATCATGGCCAAGTTCTGCCATTGCATCAGCAACTATGTTGGCTTCTCGTAGTCTGTATGACAGTTCTATTTCCCAAGACTTTTGTAGCATAATATGACAATCGGCAATAATCATTCCAAGAGGATGAAACAACTCTTTCTCGGAGAGGATAAGGTTGACAGCTGTTGATGAATCCGAGTGCACTAACACTTTGCAGTAACCCAAAACCCAGATGAGGGAGAGACCATCTCTAAGAGCTTTGAGCTCCGCTTCTAGCACAGAACAATGTCCAACATGCGTGTAAAAGCCTGCTATCCAATTACCAGCTGGATCGCGAGCTACTCCCCCAATAGCCGATGATGGGGGATCACCTTTCACGCTACCGTCTACATTCAGTTTCACCCATCCATCGGGAGGAGGCTGCCAACTAATTCTTCTAACTGTAGTGGCAGACGAGTTAGATGGTGGGGTGGAGATGTTTATCTCTGAAACCAATCCAATCACAGCTTGCCAAAATTTCTCCTTGGACCAGGACTCTTGAGAATGCACCAGGGCATTCCGTTCCTTCCAAATGTGCCACATAATAGACATGCACCAACACTTGAGAGAGAATCCTTGTGTTGTGTCATCTCCATGTTGCACTAAAATAGTGTATAGCCACTCCTGTAGTCCTAAATCATAAAAGGAAGAGTGATCTGGGGGGAATATTTTTAACCATCTTGCTTTGGCATAATAGCAGTCTCGTATGGCATGTAGAGCCGATTCTTGTTCAACACAGCATCTAGGACAAACTGGATCCACGGGAAGATGACGATACTTGAGAAAGGCCATTGAAGGAATGCTATTATGAATTAATAACCAGACAAATGAAGCAATCCGTCGAGGCCCAGGCAGCTTCCAAATCCACAGCCAACTTGTCGCTGGTGAGGCTAGAACAGTATGATTTTTTGAGAAAATTGCCCAATACGCTGATTTAGATGAGTACCTTCCATTACTTAACGCCATATAATTTGATGATTAAGATCTCCAATCAATGGAAGGGGAACCTGTGTAATTTCCTCGACAACAGGTGTAGAAAACATTTCACGGAGGAGAGTAACGTTCCACATACCTGGCGAGGTAATGAATTTGGAAACCTGTAAGTCATCGCAGTTGGTATAAGTCGGGATTAAACATTGATTTAGGAGTTGGCCAGATGGGGTCCAAAAATCATTCAGTAAGTTGACACTGCGTCCATTTCCGATTCGCCAACTAAATCCCTCTCGAAGAGTCTTATACGTCTTAGTTATGCTTTTCCAAATAGGAGAAGCAGATGATGAAGTAGTAGAGCAGGATACTTGACCATACTTAGCAAGCATTATTTGCACCCATAATTTATTCTGGTTGGTGAGGAGAGACCGTACCAATTTTCCAAGTAGTGCAATGTTGTTAAGTCTTGTTAGGCGGATGCCTAACCCTCCATCTCTCCGAGGTAATGTTGTTATGGAGCGTTTCACCAAGGGGAAGGCCTTGTGATTTTCTTTAGCCCCCTTTCCAGAAATTATATAAATCAATATATGAATGAATATAAATACGATCTATCCAAGTTTTATGATCTTACTCTACTGGTTTGCCACTCTTCTATATAATAGTGGACTAACCTTTGTTGGCCCAAACTTTCAACTACTGTTTCAATTTTTGTCGTTTTGTGTGACAACCAGTGAGAGCTTCGCATAACAGATTCCCAAAAACGTCCTCGCGGCAGCCGGCCATCCATTCCCTCGTGCCCTTACCCTAAAATCAGCAGCCGGCCATGTCTGTCTCAGGTCGTACCCATCCTTTCACCATTCCACTTGCATTTTCAAAGTTAGGACTGCGATTGTTGTTGGCGGAAGGAAAAAGAGCCCTCTCTTGCCCTGTTACACACTCGCTTCATCTCTCCAATGGCGTCCCTACTCCCTTCTTTGGCACTGTGACTGTACCCTCACCCCATTCCCAAAATCTCGCCCCCGTTCCTCACTAGTCACCCCAAATCCTGCCATCCCTTTGTGCTTTTCAATTATTCAATTGCCTCAGCAACCCACTGCAGCTCGCGATTCATAGAGAAAGCCACCTCTCCCCGCCATTCTTCCCTTCCAACACCCACCCAACCACCAATTCCACCTTATCTTTCGATTTATTTTCCTCTTATACCTGATTTCTTTGCAAGTTTTGATTTTCTTCTCCTCTCTCTCTCTCTCTCTCTCATGAGGAAACCCAACGATGGCCGATGGAGATGAGCCCAGTTGAGCCATGCTCTGGAGCTTCCGACCCGTAAGTGGAAGATGTATATTTGATTATTGCTTTGCGGTGGGTGAATCTGAATATGTTGTTTTCATGTGCTTTTTATGCAGGAAAATAATGGTTGTGCTTGAAATCACATTTAAGAAGAGGTCAAGGTGGTTCTAAACAACCCTGTCAGTTGAAGAAGAATTGGACGACAAGGTCTTTTCGGTGTTGCGGAATCGGCGGCAACTGGGATAGTAGGGGAGGAAGGCTGGTGGTGTTGGTAGGAGGAGGATGAATGAGCATCGCGGTGACTCGGGTAGTAGGGGAGGAAGGCTGGTGGTGTTGGTAAGAGGATGATGAATGAGCCTCGTGGTGGTGGTAGGGATTGAAGAAGTTGAAGATGAAGTCCCCATTTTTTGTTCTCTTTCTCTGCTAACAATTAGGTTAAGTTTTCCTGAAGTTATTTTATTTTTGTAGCTGGAACTTAAAATAAAGACTTGGTAATCTACAAACTTCGAATTTTTGTGTTTCCATAGCTATTCTTGGAGTTCCTCACATATTTTGCTTGCTGGTGGTTTGTTTGTTTTTTCCTCGATCTTAAGACAATGATCAGTAGTGTTCCATTGTTCATCCTTGCAATATTTAGTTCTCATTGTTGGATTGTTCTATTAATTATGACGCGCTCTATGTTATTCTTCTACAACAACATGGAAGTTGCAGCTGGTGTTAGGAGCTAAACTACATGTGGCTATAGCCTGTAGGTGCAATAGACAAGGAGAAGGAGTTAATCCACAAATTGGTATGTGTTTTATTCTTCTCCTTCCTGTTGATTTCTCCTTTCAATTTATAATAATATTGATTCTTTGGAGTTAGATCTGAAATAAGTAGTTTTGGACTAGCTCTGCGGTTATATAAGCATGTTTGCCAATAAGTGTAAAACCCCACTCTTTGGAACTTCACATTTTAGTGTGTACACGATGTGAAAGATTAATCATGGGTTCATGCCACTCTCTTATTAACTAAATTAATTGACTTCAGTGATTGATGGTGGTTTCCACCTCCTAATAACCCATTCAAGAATCCTTTTTGCGTTCTTCGTAGTGGGTGGCCTTGTTCTACCCCCTAAACATAGTTAACAACCTCTGCTTGCTTTTCGTATGTACTTCACCATGTTTCTCTGTGATGAAAGCCAATTATGCTTGCGTTTACAGGTACACTTTTCCCATCCTTAAATATAGTAGCAACTGAAGATGGTATACAACCAGATACAGTTGTTATCATATTTTTTGGGGCCATCGAAAGGTTACCTGTGTTTCTTCAGGGGTTGAACTTGAACACCCCATGCCTTCATTGGGCATTGGGAGTTGCATAGAAAAAATGAGTGTCGGGCCAACTAAACTTCTAAATAAGATGCTTGAACAAGATAATGGAAAGCTTAATTGTTATGCCCATATGACAGTTCTTTTTATGCCCCTGGATGGTCAACTTAGTACCCACGTTTTAGTTTCAAGTATGACTTCTCTACTCTCTAATCTCTCTGCTTAACTTACACCCCTCACTCTGCATTTTATTTTCCATACTTTTATTGTCCATAGTTTTATTGGATTGATCCTTTAAGAATTTTTATATTATTATTTTGTTTAGGTCTGCCTAGCAATGTTTGTCCACTAATCAATTTTATTTAATAATCACTTTAATAGACAGTGGAAGCAAAACATGATAGCAGTGGTTTATAAATTGCATTTGAACCATCCTTTATGATTCTGAAGCTTCGTTCTTGGTAAGTCCTAGATTTGCCGCATAACTGAAATTCTTTCTAATCAATGAGGTAGTGACGTATAACAAAGTTTCGTGATTGATAAGTAGCTACTAATTCTACACTCCTGTGTAGTCTATAGATTTTTGTAGTGTGAAATCGGGGGCGACTGGGGTGGTGGGAGTGGAAGGGGAGGAAGGCTGGTGGTGGTAGTAGGATGACGAGGACTGAGTATAGCGGTGATGGTAGGGATTGAAGAACTTGAAGATGGAGTCCCCCCCCCCCCATTTTTTGTTTTCTTTCTCTGTTATTTATCAAAATGCCAGTTATAGAGAACAAAATTATCATAATTCTCTGCGCAATCATATTGTAAGGGCTTGGGGTGTCAAATTTTAATTCATACGAGATTTATGTCCGATCACTCTTCATCCAGAACTGGATGTGAGAATTCTGCTTCTAATCTTTTTTCCTTAGTTTAAAAGTTATGCTCAATGTTTCATATATAATTAAAACTAGTTCGAGGTATGTTACAATGCTTGGAGAGGGAGGGTTTATAAAGGTTGGCTTGACGAGTGCATCACAATAGCAGTGATGTTTAGAGTTGTCTTTCTTTTCTCATTTCCATTTCAGCTTTGGTTTTCATTCTCTCATCAGTAATGCCAAGTCCAGTATTTTCTCAATGTTTATTTAGCTGCTAAGAGGTTCAATTCATTGGCCAACGAGTCCATTTTCTGTTGTTTGCTTCAGTTTGTTGCAGAGTGCGGATGTTGTTTCATCAATACTCTTATTTAGTGTTTTCCCTGTTGTTTGCAAGTGTGAAGCTAAGGAGTTTTGGGTTGGACTGTAAGCATTTTATTTGGACTACAACATCTAAATTTGGTGAGATTTCTGTGTTACTCTGCTGAAGGTCCTCTCCTAAAGTTTCAGTCAAAAGGAGGAATGCTGCTAACATTATATTCTGTAGAAGATGAGCCTTAGTATTTGTGTATGGAAGCATTCTACATTATGCATTTAATTTGTCAATTCTCTATTTCTTAGCACTATGTAATTGTATGGAAATAACACTACTGCTTTTCTAGAGTTCCAGATATAATGAATTGCAATGTTGACTTGATTTGTATTATGGAATGCAGAGCAGGATAACGGGGAAGTTTATGAAATTAAAGCTTGATCGGAGAACAATGTTGCCTGGATCTATCTGATAACAATTAAATTATTTTCTTATCTATAATAATGACACCATGGATTTAGCAAATGTGCAGGACAATTTCTTATATTTGTATGATACCCAAAGCTTCATCACCATATTTCTAAGGGCTAATTCCACTAGAAAGCCCAAACTATTCAAAAAGTGTCATTTCTGTATTAAACTATTCAATATGACAAATCTGGCATGAACTATTTTGTGTTAATGTTGAGCGACGTTGACCGTTAGTAGATCACATAAAATGTAGTCAGCTTCTATCTGGTTTGGGCTAGATTTTTCATATTGAATAGTTTAGGACACAAATGTCACAAAACACATATAGTTTGTGCAGATTTGTCATATTGAATAGTTTAAAACACAAATACAACTTTTTAGATATTTTGGCATTCCTAGTGGAATCAGCCCTATTTTAACAGTTTGTAAATATAGATTACAACTTAAACATGCCTTTACATGTCCAGTTTAATATATAATTAAATTGCAGTAATGCTCACCAAGTTTCGTCCAAATCAAAACAACCACAACTAGGTGCTATATTGATGTGGAGAACATCAATTTAACGATTTTTAAACGTATCATTTCTTGGTGGCAGTTAGTTCCGCAACTTAGACTAACTCCAACCCTAAAGCTAAAAAGTCATTTGCCCATTTTTAGCTCCCACTTTTTTAGTGTTCCAACCCACATAATTTTGGGAACTAAAAATGGGAATTAGTGAATTGAGAGCCAAATTTAGCTTCCAATTGGGTAGAAAAGCCAAATTTGGCTGGAGGAAATGGTGGACCCGCTGCTGGGTCCTCCTTTATTTATTTTTTGTATTTTTTCTGTGGGATTTTCACATTGGTTGATTGTGTTTGTTTGTTTGTTTTTTTTTTTTGCTTTTTTTGTGGTATTTTGTCATTGGTTGATTGTGTATGTTGTTTATTTAATTGTTTGAAAGAATATATGGAATGTTGTATGTTTACTTGGTATTTTTTCATTGTTCCAGGAGTTAACAGTAACAAATTAACGACTAATTTTTTGAAACTTTTTTGTCTCGGAATTTAAAAATAATTGCATAAAAAATTTATTTCCAAAAGTAATAACGAACTATAAAAAAAATTAAAGTGAAATATAAAAATTAGAGGTCAAATAAGTATGGTTTATTGAAATAAATTGAAAAAGGGAGGTGGGAAGCTAAATTTATCTTTTTGTAGGGTTGGAGTAAAAATGGGGTTTGTGGAGCTAAAAATCCATATTTGGCTATTTGGGGAGCCAAATTTGACTTTATCGGTTGAAGTTAGTCTTAGCATTATCGACCAAACTAAATAAATTTTTTTTTCTTTTTTTCTTTGAATCAGTTACCCTTTTACTATTAAGTAAAAAAGAATTGTCAAAAGCAATTCAAGAAGCAATACAACGAAATGGGTGGCCATTGTGGCTTCCAGAAGAACAAACAAATATAACAAGGAGCAGAAACCTCCCACTACCTTCTACCTCAATCCACTATAAATCTACTGTAATCTCAACAATGCCAAGTCTTGCTTCATTAGCGCCTGCAGAGTGGCAACATCTCGATCCTGCTCAGAATGGCACCGTCTGCACCTTTCTTGTCAAATGTAAGTAATCAGCAAACACCATTTGATCCCAATGAAGCTACCCAGACTGCTCCTGACAGCTTGACAGATAACCTGTAGGGATTCCTCCCAGGAAGGTCTACACACCATCTCGACCTACAAAAAACCCAGTACAACTTGCTTGACAAACTCACAGCTAAAGAACAAGTGCTCTCGTGTCTCACTGCCATTGCGGCAGAGAACACAACAATCATCACTTATCTTCCCCCATCGCAAGAGCTTGTTCTTAGTAGTAATTCCATAAAGAATCACAAGCTAGGCAATGAAACTAAACCTGGGAACACTGTTTGGCCCCCAAACCACTTTATACCAGGCCATTGCGCTGTATTGAGGACGCAGGGTATTCTAGACAAGCTTAACCGAATATTTTTGCGTTGGCTGTCCATTCCACAGAACACAGTCCCCTTGTCTACTGAGTAGAGATTGCACCTGTGAACGTTTCTTCAGTATCTGACGCCAAGCCCAGGAGCTATTTGCATTCTCCTTCATAGTCCAGACATCCCCTGTTTTACAGGGATATTTGAGCATCCATGCCACCCAAAGAGCTCCTGACTGCATCATTAGTAGCCATAATAAACGTAAGGAGCATGCAGAATTCCAGGAGCTAAGCTCTCGAATGCCAA